TGCAGTTGAGTTCAAATCCAAATAACCCAAGTAGCTTTACAGAATCACCAAAACCCCAAATGGAACCAGCAGATGTGAATTCCCAAATTACATCTTTAAACCACAGGGTTGAAATACTCACACAAGGGATGCAGGATTTGCAAATTGCTAATGAGAGACTTCTTTCTTATATGAGGTAAATGTAAAATAAAGTTACACATGCTTCAAGTGACCCTGCTGTCTGCAATCCTGAAAAGTTTTATGGAGATCGCTCCAAATATAGAGAATTTTTGAATTCATGCAATTTATTGTTTACTCTCAAACCCAGGGCTTACCCCACAGACAGGATTAAGGTCTGTTCAATAATTTCCTATTTAAGGGGTGAACCCATGTCCTGGGCACATTCATTTCTGGAAAATGAAGATCCTATTTTGGATTCTTTGGATAATTTTATTGAAGAAATGTCACTACTTTATGAGGACCCTAATAAACAAGCTACTGCTGATCTTACTATTAGATTATTACAAAAAAGAAATCGTCCTGTGGAGGATTATATAGCTGAGTTCAAAAGATAGGCTTCAGAAACCCAATGGAATGATATAGCTCTACGTAATCAGTTCCGTTTAGGATTGTCTGAAACAGTTAAAGATGAATTATCTAGAACCACTCTTCCTCCAACACTGGATACATTAATTCAACTCTCTATCAGTATAGATAGAAGAATCAGAGAACGTAAAGCTGAAAAGACTCTCTCTAATTCATCTTGGAATAAACCTAGTCCACCTTTGTGCATGCCTAATAAACCCTTGCAACCAAGTGAACCTATGGAAGTTGGGTTTATTAGGGGACCTTTATCTATGGAAGAAAAAACAAGATGGAGAGACTTAAATCTCTGTATGTACTGTGCTTCTAATAACCATCTATTACAAGAATGTAATCTACTAAAACGCGCTAAGGGAGGAAAGCTTAAAATTAATACCTCAATTTTGAAGACACTTCCCTCTTCCTCCTCTCATCAGTTTGCAGTGCCTCTAATTTTACAGTGGGACAAAGAAAGAATCAAGACTGAAGCTATTATTGATTCTGGAGCTACGGGGATATTCATAGATTCTTCGTTCGTTGAAACTCATAAAATTCCTTTTATGAAAAAAGCATCTTTTATCTCCTTCAGAGTTATTGATGGATCTTTAATCCCCTCTGGTCCTATAAAAAATGAAACTATTCCTATTAGGACCATTGTCAATAATAAACATTCAGAATTTCTTGTTTTTGATATTATAAAATCCCCTCTTTTTCCTATCATCTTAGGTATCAACTGGTTACAAACTCATAATCCCTTCATTCGTTGGGCTCCCTTTTCTCTCACCTTTGACTCAGAATATTGTAAGGACAATTGTCTCCCACAGATTCCTATACTTCGATTAAGTCAAGAAACTTTAATACCAGAGCAATATTCAGATTTACCTAATGTGTTTAATAACAAAAAAGCTGATGCTCTTTCCAGAATACCTCGTCATCCTTCTTCAGAAAAGAAAACTCTCTCAATATTATCAAACAATAAAATTATTGGACTTACAACAACTATATTGGATGAATTGAAACAAACAATTATCTCTCAAAGAACTTGAACTACCTTCTACTCCTAAATTGGTCAAAAAAGATGGAATCTTTTATTTCAAAAATAGAATTTATATTCCTCCAAAACTCCGAAACAATCTTTTAAAATTAATTCATGATTCTCCTCTTGCTGGACATCCAGGGATAAAAAAAGACACTTGGACTCTCTACTAGACAATATTGGTGGCCTCCTCAAGACAAAGCCATTGAATCCTATGTAAAGTCTTGTCCAGTTTGTCAAAGGTCCAAAGCGGAACGTCCTTATGGATTATTGACAGGATTACCAGTACCTGTGAGACTCCTAAATATAAAATTGGTGACACTGTTTGGTTGTCTTCAAAAAATATTTCTACTAACCGTCCTTCTAAGCAACTAAGTCCTCTTTTCCTTGGACCTTTTCAAATTGAATCCATTATTAATGAAAATGCTGTGAAATTGAAACTTCCTCCATCACTTAAACTTCATCCTGTTTTCCATGTTTCACTCCTAAAGTCTTTTCTCCCAGATCCCTTCCATAGGGAACAATTGTTGAAGCCAGACCCCATTGAAGTTCAAGGTGAATTGGAATATGAAATAGAAAAAATTCTTGACTCCAGACTTCATAGAGGTAATCTACAGTACCTTATTAAATGGAAGGGTTATGGAGATAAAGATAACTCCTGGGAGAATTCCTCTGAAATACATGCAAAGAAGTTAATTACTGCATTTCACAAAAGGTACCCTCAGAAACTGAGGTAACAGCACCCGGAGTGCTGTCATGCGGTAACACTTCCGGGTTTGGCACTTCTGCGATGCGGAGCTGATCCCGCCCCCCTCTGACGCGGCTCTGACTGTACTTAAGGAGTCCGCGCCAGAGAGAGGGCGCTTGGTGCATGTGTGACCTACTTCAGCCATACTCACCGGCTCCTGAGGCTCTGACAATGTGGGACCGACTTCCTGGTATACACGCCGGCTCCACAGACTCTGACAAGCCGTCCTAGCCTTTGAGCTAATGCATGGATGATACTGCATGCCATAGAGGATTACTGGAGAACTGATACTTGTTAATTATCAAGTGGACTATAACTCTGAACTCTTGGAGGATAATTCACCTTAACCTTAAGTATACCTTTCAGCTATTGTCTGCTATCTCATTTATTGATGAACTATTCACTGCTTGCTTAAAACTTCTCTGCTTCAAGCTACTAATGATATGGAGGACAACTCCCATCAAGCTTAATCACTAGGAACTGTTTCTTGCTTTGCAAATACTTTGCTATCTGCTAAATATCATTATTGAAGATGATTCCAAGCAACCTATAAATCTTATTTGATATTTCTCTGAGGAAATACTTATTAATGAACTTTGTATTGTTTAATGACTTCCACTTATTCTTATTGGATTATTGCCTAAATGCAATTTGTTAAGTTTAACAATTATTAAAACTTAATTTGATTCTCAAAGTGCCAGCAATCCTCTCTTTTCTTAAAGCTACAGTATTGATACTTTACTTCTTCACTATTGTAATTAAGGAGTTCTACAAGCTGCAGTTGAGTTCCAATCCAAATAACCCAAGTAGCATAACAGATGAATCCTCTTTAATGTGAGGTTTCACTGTGTATGGCAGATATAAAATCTATACAGCCCTTGCTCCGGCTCAAACTGGTAAGGAGGCCAGTCTCTACTGCCATTAGTACAATTTATTAGGTTTCTATGACTAGTAGAGTTGGAAGGTGGTCGCTTCCAAGCTCAATGAGGGGCATTGAGTGGACTATTGTTTAACCCCCTTACTGTAAGATACCATTGGTTCAGTACCCTTCAGGTGGTTTACTGACAGTACATAGATCAATGAGGAAACCCCATACAGATCTGTAGGTCCAGGCATGTCATGAGTTAATTGGCACTATATCACTGGAAACTTTTCAGCCTATACATTACAGCTGGAATACCACTATTTTTCCTGCTGGGCATTGAAGGACTGCTAGTCCCAGTTTATGTTAATTGCACAGTATTACACTGTCTAAAAGGGGTTGGTGTCTAAGGGTCCTGGGCCACAGGGTACCCTGTAGATTTACAAATATTTAGGGGTCTCTACCAAACACAGAGGTCCCCATTACTCATCTACACGCAGCCCGCTACGTCTATACCCCATGGATTGGCCTGCTATGTCTGTGCCCCATTGATTGGCCTGCTATCTCTGTGCCTCACTGACTGGCCTGCTATGTCTGTGCCCCATTGTTTGGCCTGCTATGTCTGTGCCCCATAGATTGGCCTGCTATGTCTGTGCCCATGTGATTGGCCTGCTATGTCTGTGCCTTTCGGACTGACCTGCTCTGTCTGTGCCCTTTGTTTGGCCTGAGCTATCTGGGCCTGAAATCCCTTTTGGCCACAGGCCTGGGAGAATATCACTGAGAAAAGCCCAGTACCCACTATTGACATGGTAATAGGTGGGTGTCCAGGCAAGCACTGCTGCCTTACAATCTAAGAGGACACCAGTATACGGGCACCTCAATATGATTGGAAGGATGAAGACTCTAAACCTCATACCCTGAGGGGCAAGTTTTTTTTGAGGATTCCCGGGCGCGCAACCAGTAGGCGAGTATTTCCCACCCATTCTTATCCCTCCCTTGTTTAATTTTAATAGTTGGATTAATCAGGTACGTTGCTACATTGGGTATCTACAGGTTTATTCAGAGTACATTTCATTGGATAATCAACCTGTTCGATTCTGTTTTTCTCTCGTTTTAGTTTCCAGTCCTTCAACGCTATCTGGTGTGGCACTTCTTCACGGATGGTGGACATTGACTTATTTATTTAGCAGTCCATCAACGCTATCTGGTTTGACAGTTCTTCTCGGATGTTGGACATTGCTGTATTCATTGTATCTAGGACTTCGTTTCTTCCCATTATTTTTTCTGCCTTTGTTCTGTTTTGTCGCAGCTTGAAAGAGGAAATGATGCAATGGGAAGGGAGTTTTATAGTACCTAACTTTTTCTGATTGGTTGTTTTCTGTGCTGCTGTGGAGTTCTAGTAAAGAGAGACTTAAGCAAATACAAAGCCTCCTGTCATTAATAAAATTAACATTATAGGTACACTAAAGCTAGCATAAACTACAAGTTTCAACCAACTGTTAGTGGAACGTTGGTTAAAACAATGTGTTTGAGAATGTTTCAACATGGGTATTTGAAGCTGGCCAATAATTACTCTAGTCGCAAATAGTAGTGAATTGAAAATCAACATGACCTAATCTGTACACATCTGTTTAACCCCTTAAGGACACACGACATGTGTAACATGTCATGATTCCCTTTTATTCCAGAAGTTGGTCCTTAAGGGGTTAAACCATTTGAGGGAGCCATACTGTACTTTGCCGCTGCTTGGCTGTCAAGAATCAGGAGGAAGAGTGATCTCTGTAGAACACAAGATGGCTGCTGGTGGCATTGACACAAAGAAAAAACTGATTAAAAATGAACGGCAGACATGGCCACAAGCCAACCCGCAAGCGCCAGCCACAGAATATGGAGAGCAAACAGAGCACCAAGCGGGCAACACACGGCGCCCACTGCGCCACCATCCCCGGAAAGGCCAGAGACCACACTGGGACTCACGCACGCAGAAATGGAGCATCGGCTCACCAGCAACCTCAGAGGTGGAGGGGCTCCCCACCTCCACAGCGCCATGCTGCAACAAACGCACACCTAGACATACTCACCCACTCCACCTGGCAGCAACCGGGTCCAGCAGCCTGCACGCTCCAGCACCACGACAGACTCGGACCCTGCCAACACACAAGCCCCTCCAACTGGTGTTCGTGTGCAGGAACCTGACCAACCTCACCAGCAGAAAGAACTCTGGGAGACCCTAGGCAAGCAACGGAGGCATAGGATTCCAGGCTGCACTCCCGCTCCGGTCGGATTTGCTACCGGGTGAAAGAATGGACTATCTGCTCTAGCACATAAACAGCATCGTGTGAAGAGTCAGAGCTAAGAGAACTCTTTTTATTGCAGCTGAGCACTGTTCTTAACCACTACATTCACCCTGCTTTAATGATTTGTTTTTCCCTAATGCTCTGTTTTCCCCTACCTCTGCCTCATGTCAGCGGTTTACAATTCATGCATTGCCAGTTTATACTTAAGCCATTGACTCCGATGCCAGTTAGTCATTGACCACGTGCATATACCTTATAAGCACCTATAACAGTTTTACTAGCAGCTGTGCAGGACAAAGGCTCCATAGGTTTGATCCGGCACCCTGAGAGTGCCAAAACATTAATCCTTGTTACCTTGCTTAGCCCGATCCTGTTTTTTTTTTTACCAAGCAAGTACTGTGACATAGTATTGTACAAATCAAAAGGCAGCCTTATCTGCTACTCATGCCTAGCCTGTATCCTATGTGCACAGTACATTCATATGCCTTATTGCATCTATCCGGCCTCATGCCAAAGCATAGCATGTTTCCCTTACTTAAAACTAGACTATGTAGACGTTACCCAATCTTACATATAAGCTAAACCTAGCATGTATTAATCTACTCTACTTTTACTAGCCTAGATCCAACATACCATAACAATAGGAATAAAACCAAACGCTGTATATCACTAATGTTGACTTACCTATTGTTTGCTTTACTGCACTATATGATATAGCTTGTTGTTACTAATTAGACTAGCTTGTTTATTTTAAAAAATGAGACAGATCTGCCAGGAGCATACTGTTCAACTGTTTGATTAACATCTGGACTTTTGCGCCAACTCCTTTATTCTTGGTCACATTCTGTACCGCATAACTCAATGTCTCAATAAAAGAAAGAATTACAAAAAAAAAAATGAACGGCAGAACCAGGACACTGTTTAACCCCTTACGGACACATGACATGCCTGACATGTCATGATTCCAGAGCCGGAGTGGGAAGAAAATTCGGCCCGGGCATTTTTTATTTACAGCGGCCCATTAAAAAGGGGGCGGGGCCAGATAGGGTGTGTTTTGTCATCACCAATGACAAGCACGCCCCATCACAAAGTGAGCATGTTGGTTCAATGCTCTTCCAGGGTAGACCATGCGAAGAGCTCTGGCATTTGAAAAATACCCTGTATTTGTTCTGCACAGCGCAAGCAAATTTAATAACATGTTTGCACTGTGTTTGCTTGAAATTTGTCTCTGGTGTCTCCATAGTTGGGATACCAGGAGACAAACATGCCAGGAAAGCATATTGCGCAGTGTGTGTGAGGGTGCTCTGTGTGTGTGTAAGTGGTGTAGTGTGTGTGAGAGAGGGGTGCAGTGTGTGTGTGAGTGATGGGTGCTCTGTTTGCTTGAGGGTCCTGTGTGTGTGATGGGTGCAGTGTGTGTGTGCTGTGTGTGAGTGGGTGCTGTGTTTGCGTGAGGGTGCTATGTGTGTGTGAGGAAGCTGTGTGTGAGGGTGCAGTGTATGCATGTGAGGAAGCTGTGAGTGTCAGGGGTGCAGTGTGTGTGAGTGGGGGTGCTGTGATTGTCAGGGGTGCAGTGTGTGTGTGATGTGCGTGCCAGGGGTGCAGTGTGTGTGTGAGGGTGCTGTGAGTGTTAGGGATGCATTGTGTGTGTGCTGTGAGTCAGGGGTGCAGTGTGTGTGTGTGATGGTGCTGTGAGTGTCAGGGGTGCAGTGTGTGTGCTGTGCGTGTCAGGGGTGCAGTGTGTGTGTGAGGGTGCTGTGAGTGTTAGGGATGCATTTTGTGTGTGCTGTGAGTGTCAGACGTGCAGTGTGTGTGTGTGAGGGTGCAGTGAGTGTTAAGGGTTCATTATGTGTGTGCTGTGAGTGTCAGGGGTGCAGTGTGTGTGTGTGTGAAGGTGCTGTGAGTGTCAGGGGTGCCGTGTGTGTGCTGTGAGTGTTAGGGGTGCAGTGTGTGTGTGTGTGTGAGGGTGCTGTGAGTGTTAGGGGTGCATTGTGTGTGTGCTGTGAGTGTCAGGGGTGCAGTGTGTGTGTGTGTGCTGTGATTGTTAGAGGTGCAGTGTGTGTGTGAGGGTGCTGTGTGTGTGCTGTGAGTGTCAGGGGTGCAGTGTGCGTGTGAGGGTGCTGTGAGTGTCAGGGGTGCAGTGTGTGTGCTGTGAGTGTCAGGGGTGCAGTGTGTGTGTGTGTGTGCTGTGCGTGTCAGGGGTGCAGTGTGTGTGTGAGGGTGCTGTGATTATACCTGAGTGATTATTTCCCCCCTCCCTGCTTACCTTCAGCCTGGGAGGGGGGGATCCTGCTGCTGGGGCTGCCATCCATCCCTGGTGGTCCTAGTGGTGAGTGAACTCTAGGCTGTTGGGCTAGAGTTCACTCTCACGAGACCCGGAGCTTTGTGTGAGGGTGCAGTGTATGCATGTGAGGAAGCTGTGAGTGTCAGGGGTGCAGTGTGTGTGAGTGAGGGTGCTGTGAGCGTCAGGGGTGTAGTGTGTGTGTGTGTGTGATGTGTGTGTCAGGGGTGCAGTGTGTGTATGAGGGTGCTGTGAGTGTTAGGGGTGCAGTGTGTGTGTGTGTGATGTGTGTTAGGGGTGCAGTGTGTGTGTGAGAGTGCTGTGAGTGTTAGGGGTGGCGAGAGGAACCTGGCGGAGCTGCAAGTTAGAGCTCCTCCGGGTTCCTCTGCTGGCAGGCTGGCTCCCTCCCTCTCTCCCCCGGCGGCCGCAATATCCTGCATGTGGGCAGGTGAGGGAGATCTTTGATCTCCCCACCGGCCCGCTGTGGACTACTGCAGCTCGGTGTGGTCTGACTGAAAACCAAGTTTTATTGCTTTAGGCTGTGCTGTGTGTTCTATCGAGTTCTCTCTTCTATGTGAATTTGGTTTTAAGTGATTTCTAAACAGTTCCCTATCATAAATATTGTTCAATTGCTGACAACTAGTTGCTTTTAGCTGCTGTATTGTGTTTAAACCATTGCCATATTGTTTGCCTATGTTATACCTAACTATTCACTGATTATTGTCACGAATGTTACACATTTAATTTTTATTATTATTTTCACAATCAATTATATTTTTATAATGAAATTGTGATTTACTGTGTGTGGCGAAACTGACCTCGCCACTGGGCATTGGAGAAGACTGATTGCCAGCCTCCTGCCATGTGACTATGGCCCCTGGGATGTATTGCCCTTTAAAGACATGATTTGGGCATAATGGATTTGTGTTGTGCCGCTGCTGGCCCTTTAAGAACCATCTGGGGACATACTGTGGAGTTACTGGGCGGCCACCATTTCATGCATCAGAGGCACATGGTGAGAACAATGGATGAAGCACATGGTGAGAACAATGGATGGCGGCCATTTTAACTCACAGACACTGTTTGGACTTTTCTACACGGTGCCATCTCGCCGGTATTTGGTGCACAAAGACATCATGCAGTAGTTTTAAACTATACAACAGGGGACACATTATACAATAATTATTTTTCATATAGCCTGTATATGTACTGCGGAATCTGCATTAAACTGTATCTTCCAAACTACTGAACGGATCTGGGTGAATTTTGGATATGTGGTCCACCCAGATCCCCCAGTTCCGAGGATATACTTTATGGGGTTATTGCATGTTTTGGGGTCCCTGTGATATGTTTTATAATACTGTATTTCTCTGCCTGTGATAATTATATTAACCATTGTGTTCAGTAATCATATCACAGGCAGAGAGGAGGATTTTGTGTGGGAGTGTCTGTGTGTATTGTACGGATTGATTGGTTGTATTTCAAAACCCTGTGGGCAGTACTATATTTGTGGATTGTGAATAAAAGAGGCTTTATGTGCCAGTACAGTCAGTTCTGCTTGACCTCAAAATGAAGTGTCGTCTCGTTATTGGGGGAATTGGATTGTATGCTGATTGCCAGGAGTGTAAGCTGATTGTATGCTTGAGAGCATTCGTATGCTTCTCCGGTTTGGTGGTTGTGGTGTCGGCTAGAGTGCTTGGAGTCTTCAGGAAGCACTAGGAGCATCCTTCAACGGAGGTACCCAGTCGGGGTGCCAGGTGATCCGTTACACTGTGTGAAGTAAAATCCTCCAATGAGCTTTCTCTAGGATCTAAGAGAATTAAAATCATGAGTAATTCTCAGCTTTATATTATAATTTTCAGGGAAACCGCACCAAGATATCAATTTTTATATAATAAAAATTATTAAATTAATTTTTGATAATTTTTATGAAAATATTATTTTAATATTTATCACCCCATAAATATCCTCACAGCTTGGGGGAGGTTTGTCGATAACAGCACAAATGATGGTAACATGATTTGACTGGACCGGAGAAAATCCTTCTCATGGATTCTGAAATCTGAGTGTCTGAGTAATCACAATTCTCCCACAACCCTACACATTTCTTTGATACTTTCAGTTCTATTCTTTGCCCTGCAATGGCCACTTCCTAAATTAAACTTTCAGCCGATAACTTTGCATGTTATTTAATTGACAAGATTAACCAGTTAAAGAAAGATTTATTTGCTCCTCTCTGTCAACCGCACTCATAGGCGTGCGCACGGGGTGTGCCGGGTGTGCCTGGGCACACCCTAATCCCCGTGCGCACCCCTATGGTTTGAGTCCTGCAGGAACAGCGTTCCTGCACTCTTTTGAGCAGGAACGCTGTTCCTGCAGGCACTCAGTGTCCCCCGTCTCACCTCTTGCCACTGTC